GCAGAGGCCTTCCTCTGTTACCAGCATCGCGGCCCGCGTTAAATACTTTTAGAGCAGGAGCGTTTCAGTCCATTCGAACGGCATGGCCAAGCCAGCGGAGCCGCTGAATTTTAATTCGCTGCACTATGTCTATATCGTTGTAAAGCTCATACAGCTCATCGTTAAATCGTCTGCGATATTCGCCATCACCAACGCGTAAAGGTCCGTAAATCTTTCGCAGAATCTTTCTCTCGAAAACTCCAAGAGCCGCCTCATCAGATGCTTTCATTGTCCATGCTTCCGCGCCATACACCAGCACAGGCATGATGAGTGACTTATAGAGTGTGATCTTTGTACGANGGACTTATGGACTTATTATACGACGAGAGAGGACTTAACTTCTCAATTGCCTACTCAGTCCAAAGNTGACTTATGGACTTATTGTACGACGAGAGAGGACTTAACTTCTCAATTGCCTACTCAGTCCAAAGTAGCACTTGTTGGCAAGAGTGATTCTCCGTTGGATTTCAAGGCTGACATTATTATTGGTGTTAATGCAGGTTCCCAAATAAACGAAGTCGTCTACTTTTTCAAACTTGTAACTGTCAACAGTGACGTGGGTGCCAAGACGCGTATGCTCTGACTGTGTCATGACAGGAGATACTTCGTTTTGTCCTCGTTCACCACCAGACCCATTCACTTCGCTTCTCTATCTAATCCGGAGAGGGAAGAACAGACGTAGTCCTTGGTTTTGGATAATATCGATGTCGTCGGCATACGCCAGCAATTGTACGCTCTGGTAAAGTATTNGAGATACTTCGTTTTGTCCTCGTTCACCACCAGACCCATTCACTTCGCTTCTCTATCTAATCCGGAGAGGGAAGAACAGACGTAGTCCTTGGTTTTGGATAATATCGATGTCGTCGGCATACGCCAGCAATTGTACGCTCTGGTAAAGTATTGTGCCTGAGCGGTTTAGTTCTGCGGCTCTTATTATCTTCTCCAAAATCAGATTAAAGAAATCACACAAGAGGGAGTCACCTTCAGGGCTGCCAACTTGGCTCAAACCGTGCCATTTTTGGCCGTATTTTACTTCAAATGGCACTTAATTTTTTAATTTGGCACTTTTGAAAAATAATAATATTTCAATTCATTTGTGTGAAATCCTTTTAGTGTATACAACTGGTTTGTCTTACTTTGTATTGGACTTTT